TTAGTTACTTAATAGGCGACGCAAAAAAGAAAAAGTTAATTAAATCTTTTAATATAAGAGAATTACTTTCAATTAAGAAAAATTGTATTTGAGAAAGACTTTTTGGTTAAATGAGTTGTTACATGTGCAGGCAAGATGCCGTATTTAGAAATATGGTTCGCATCTATGGTATGCTTACAAATAAAGAAAACTGTACAAAAATATTACAGTATCAATTAGTTTAATAGTAAATTTCATAACTGAAATCAGAAGCAACAAAAAAATATTTGAAACAATTTCAGTATTACTTCTATTATACAAATATATATAAAGCTGATAATAATTATTTTTGAATAAATTTGTTGAATCAAAATAGTCAAAATTTATAAAAAAATTTTAATTAAATTTATTTATTAACTTGAATTAATCAAATTTAACATTTAATTTTTTAATGATTTGTAATTTTAATAAAATTTTCTAAAGACGTTTTGCGAACAGTAGTAAACTTAAACAACAAAAATTCATTTTATATTATTTGAATTAATTGAATTTGTGGCTAATCATACAGCTGTTTTGAGTTTTGCCAAGTACCCATCATCAGTGGTCCTGGAAATAATTCTTGTATTTAATTATTCGTAAATAATTTTTTAAGACTGCAAGTACCAAGAATCGAACTCGTTTCCTGCCAAATTTGAAGCTCAGAGTCAGCGCACCTTAACCAACTGACCCAAAGCTGCACTTGACTTTTTATGTTCACACATTTTTCTGAAATTTTGTTACTTTGCTGTGAAATTTTATTAACAAATTCACTTGCTGAGTTTATATTAGAACGAAATCATAAACTAGCTGTAAAATAATTGAATTAAGTTGTAATTTAACGTCAAATTTTCCAGACGAAAGTGACTATTATATTTTAATAGAAACTTATTATATTTCATAAAGACGTTTTGCGAACAGTAGTGAACTAAAACAACAAGAAATTTTTATTTTTTTATATTATTTTAATTAATTGAATTTTTGGCTGACCATATAGCTGTTTCGAGTATTGCCAAAGACCTACATCATCAATGGTCTTGGAAATAATTCTTGTATTTAATTATTCGTCAATAATTATTTTGGAGACTGCAAGTACCAGTAATCGAACTCGGGTCCTGCCAAATGTGAAGTTCAAAATCAGCGCACCTTAACCAACTGATCCAAAGACGTACTTAACTTTTTATGTTCGCATATTTTGCTGGAGTTTTGTTACTTTTCCTATGAAAGTTTTTATAAACAATTTTACTTGCTGTGTTTATATTACAAGGAAATGATAAACCAGCTGTAGAATAATTAAATTAATTAATTAATTATATTTTTTTTTATTGTTAAATTTCCATACAATTCTGTATGTAGAGGCATTATTTTGTTGCATGATTTGTCCTTTTTTATCTATAGAACCTAATCTAGGAACGTAATACTGACAAAGTCATGCTAATGTTACTCCACGAGTCGCACGGGCGAGATCAATATAAGTTGTAATTTAAAATCAAATTTTTCAGACAGAAGTGACCATTATATTTAATAGAAACTAGTTTATTTCATAAAGAGGTTTTTCAAAAAGTAGTGAACTACAATAACAAAAATACATTTTATATTATTTTTATTAATTAAATTTGAATTATTCTAACAAATAATTTTATATCAGTACCCAACGATACTTTTTCTTATTTACTCAGAAATTCTAAGTTGAAATGTTTGACCTTAGAGTAATATAAACATATGTGTACATATACCATTTTAATATTTTTTTATTTTAATTTATTATTTATAAAATAAAACAAATATTTAATAATTTCTATGGCTTTGTGTAAATATTAAATTTAAATACAAAAAAAAAACAATTTTATTCGTTTAATAAAATTAGGTCAAAACGAAAGTAAGACTCATATCGCTTTAACCATAACATACTAACATTTTCTTTGACTGTAAGACAGCGATTAATACAAAGCCACCAATAACAAATAAATTTCATCGAGGAGATCAGCAATAAAACCAGCTTAAATTATTACCAAATCACACATTGCAAAATCTACAACAACAAAAATAATAAAACAACAACAAGACTTAATAAAACAGAAGTCTCATAACATTGAGAGTAATACAATATGAATTTACAAACGACTCAATCAATCACACTCGAGTCTTTAATCTCTCTGAGTCACGCTAAGCTAAATTATTTTGTTTACAGCAATATTTTTTTTACAAGAAGGGGAATTTTTTGCGCTCGTTTTATTTATAAAAACGTCGTCGGCGAAACTACTAACAATAGGAAGAAACAAAAGAAAGGAAAGAAAAAATACAAACAAAAACAAAAACAATTTAAGCTGTACCAGCGACTTACTTGCGACCAAACACAGTTCATTCATAATAGCACTGGAATTTTATCTCCAGTTTTGTGGCGTCGTGCTCACTATCAGCACGTACGAACGTAGTTACTCATTGAAACAGTTATTCTTCGTCGGTCATCGCACGAGCGGTTTTTAGGTAAGGAAAAGGAAGTGATTAACGGTTTTTCGCGCAGTGAGAACGTTTAGCGTAATTGTGTGGTGAACTTAAGCGCGTAAAAGCTTACGTGCTTCGGTCTGAGTTTGTGCAATTTTTTTGCTGTTGTGTTAGGGTTGCATAGGTAGTGGATCATTCTATTAAGACATGCATAGCAGGGGAATGTGAGAGGATGGTTAATGCAACTTATTTAGGATGAGTACAAAAAAATAAATTTTTAAAAAATTGCATTTAGGTATTAAAGCTTAGGGTTTCCCTTGCTATTTAGAAGAATGCTGTCAAGTTCTAATCTTTTATTAGGATCCCTACTTTGAATAAGTGAAAATTTTTTTTATTATACCAAAAATCTTATTTACTATCTTCTTCGACTGCTTATCTAAAGATCACTATATGCGAATGCTTTTTAGTTCGCTCTCACTGTGGAATTTAGTGTACCGTGTAATGGTTTCAGGATTTTGGTTAAAGTTTCAGTGGAGAGTAATCATTAGAAACTACTGTCAAGCACTTCTTTTTATAATTTGTTGTTTTGAACATATGTAAATTGTTTTTTATGAAATATTATTTAGGGTCTTCCAAACCTTTTATTCAATGTTTTATCTGTATTTTCTTTGTATTTATTTCTTTGTGACATTAGTATTACTATTATTGTACATTTTTATTATATATTTAAACCAACTTATTTCTTGAATCTCGTGTATTGGTTTCGTGTATCATCAACATGTTTTATTTTTTCTTTATACCGTATTATACAAAACAATCTTCTAATCTTCTAAATAAGCTCAAATATTTTACGCATTATCTCTAATGGTGTAATGGTTTCAGACATCGTCAGGACCTGTTTTCTTTCATTATACCGTATTTTATTTGAAACATTCCTCTTCCGAATGCTTCCAAATATTCTACACATTATCTTTAGCAGAGTAGTAGTTTCAGTCATCGTCTGCTACTCTATTTTCTCATTCTAACTTATAATATTCTCAATAATATTCTCGTATTATTTTATACAAATAATTGCTTCTGCCCATAGAACCAAATATCCTCACCAGAAAGACTTATTTGGTTTATCTTGGCTATTTTTATAGAAGCCTAAATCTTGTTATAATTTGAAAACTTGCCATATATACTCATATATGTTAACTTTTAAACAAAGCTACGTGATTAAACACAATTTAGTTGCAACTCTATTACTTATAGGGCGGAAAGACGCGGGTTTACAATAAACGTTCAGTTCTATATATTATATTGAAATTAACTAACTGATTCCTAGCGTGAATTATTTTATATATAATTACTCTAACAGCGTTGCTTATAATACTCTTGATGATTACCAACCCTATCTGCTCAGCTCCTGAAAATACAAAGCTCTTAAAATAAATTTTTATTAACCCTTTAAAATCTAAATTTATGAACTTTAACCCGTTTTTTGCCAGAGACTCAGATATCTACGATAAAATTAAGTTACAATATGTGAACTTAGCAGACTCAATTTTACCTTAAACGTAGAATCATATACGTAGTATGTATATGATTTGACCGTATTAGGGTACATAAGGTTTCGTAATTCTTTAAACTATTTTTTTTTACTCTTTTTATTACTTTTCCTATTCAAATTTATTTAATATTATTTAATCAAATATTAAAGCTTTAAATAATGCAAAATTATTTCGTTATTATATATAATCAGATTATAATAAATCTGTGTTACACAAGTTCAATTCTATTTTAATATAAATCAACAATTGGCAATAAACATAAATAAAATAAAGCAGAAGGCAAATATAATGATATATTTTTGTAAATTTCGGGATTTCAAATGTATCAATGCACAAATCCGGAAAATTTATACAATTCTAATATTTATTCAAACGATACACCCGTCATTTGTTAGTTGTGCACATAAATTGCTTAACTATTTCGAGCTAATAACGAAATAGTTTCCCAAATATAAATAAATTCAAAAAAATAAATTAAATATTTTGGTCTCACAGATTTTCAATTCAAACTAAAATAGAGAATAATTCAAAAATTGTTTAGTCAAAAATTTTTAAGTTAATTTGCATGTGTTGGATTTTAATAAATATTTCATTAAATTGGGCGCAAGCGAGGTTTTCAGAGAATTTATTTATTGTCATAAATTGTTTTGTAAATCACATCAACTCACAACACAAACCCACACACATCAGTTAAAATGCCAATGCAAATTACTGTGTTTAATTTACCCAGGGGGGAGCTTGCGCGGCCCCGTGGGTCATATGCATAATTAATACGTATTTGTTGCATATTTTTTCTGACAGATGTCAGTGGAAATGTAATTAAACCAACAAATTTGCATGTCCATGCATATTTCATTTGGCAGTTATAAGCGAGCGAAAATATTTTAAATATTTTATTAAAATTAAATCAAAATAATAATAATAATATTGATTCCTTATTATTGCTCAAAATGCTAATAAGTACGTATTTTGTCTTTTTTTTTGTAGGTTTGGGTCAACAAATGCCAAATACGCAGCATTCACAAATTATCTCTCGTACGGACTGGGGTGCACGTCCCTCCAAATTGGTAGAGCATTTCAATGGACCAGCTCCGTTCGTTATCATACATCATTCATACATACCGAGTGCCTGTTACACCACAGCCGACTGTATACAGGCGATGCGTTCGATACAGGACTTTCATCAACTAGAGCGTGGCTGGAATGATATTGGTTATAGTTTTCTTATTGGAGGTGATGGCATGATTTACACCGGACGTGGGTTCAATGTTATCGGTGCACATGCACCCAAATATAATGACAAGAGTGTAGGCATTTGTCTGATAGGCGATTGGAGAAGTAAGTACATGATATTATAATAGTTCACTTATATGTAATTAAGTGTATTAATTATTTTCTGTTTTATTTTTGTAGCTGATTTACCGCCACCACAAATGCTTAGAGCTGCCCGCGAACTAATATCATTTGGTGTTGCAAAAGGTTATATACATCCTGAATTTAAATTACTTGGCCATAGACAAGTACGTGATACTGAATGTCCCGGCAATAGATTGTTTAGTGAGATTTCAACTTGGCCACACTTTTCTCCGAAACCAAATGCCACAGAAAATGAAATTCATAAATTGTAAATTAAGCAAAATCGCATAAATCATACTTAGTTGTTAAGGCGGAAGCCACAATAAAAGTTCACTATTATTTTTAAGTTCACTAGATGCTTCTATACTTAGATTTCTATACTTAGATTAACGAAATTTAAGTAATAAATTTATTTTATAAATAAAAAAAATAAAACCAAAATTATTAAGGATGTGGAAATTATTTTTAAGACTTTTTAGTACTTCGAAGCAGAGAAGGAAATATTTTCAACTTTGATAATTAAAATATATTGAATATAAGTTCTCTACATATTCGAATCAAGTACTCACTGCACTTTTAAGGAGTCTGAAAAACTTTTGTTGATGCGAAAATGATATACTTAACAGAAAATGAAAAATTAATAATCAAATAAAAAAAGAAATATACCATAAAAATAAATTAAGAATAAATGAAAAGTAAAGAAATATAAAAAACAAAAAATAAAGGGCATACATAACTAAAACTTAGGAATGAAAAATAATTTAAACGAGATAAAATTAATAATAAAAAAAATTAAATTATTAAAAAATAAACTAAATTAGTTGAATTAATAAAAAAAATTAAATTAATAAAAAAAAAATAAAATTAATAAAATAAAATAAAATTGATAAAAATAAATAAAATTAATAGAAAGTATTGGGCTAAAGGCATTCTGCAAATGTTTGGTTACAAAGATAATAAAGATTACATATAAATATAAGGAAGGAGGGCAGATAAGAAATGACTTAGTGACTTAGTAAAATAGTTGTATGGAGAACAATAGAGAGAATGATAATGATAAATGGAGTTGATTAGAGTGACAAAGCATGAATTTTAATTCACTAAAAAAAAACAGAGAGAGAGAAGATGAAAGTGTTTAAAAGCACAAATCGCAATTCAGTATATAACATTCGATTCATATTACGGCACGAAGGAGTAACTAAAACAAATTACTTATATGAGTTTACATAATTATCACCACTTTTTTGTTGAATATTCGTTTTCAAAATGTTTTGAGTTGGGTTTATCATGAGTTCTCTTGCGTTTATCATTATTGTAGGGAACTCATTTCTAGCCCACCGTAATGATGGACTTCAGAAAGTAACCATTTTTTCACCTTTTGAGAAACAAATCACAAACATTATTGTGAAGAAACAAATTTCTTTCCGTA